TATTTTGAAGAAATCCAATCACCTGAAACGCTAAATGTCGTCCATTGAATTTGCTTTAAATGTGAACTATAACATGTAAACTCTTCACTCTCCTCATGTAAAGTCAGAAGAGCTGACTTCACCTCCATAAACATTTATAACAAAAGCTTCAGACCAAAGACTCAGACATAAACCTGCGTCATCAAAGTTTCCAAATTTCACGCAACTGACTTTCATCACCTTGTGGCACAGGCCGCACAGCTCGATGCTGCCATCTAGTGTCTGCAGAGTGGAATGCAGCAGGGATGCATGAAGTGTTTTACTGTAACAACCGTCTCGTCGCCGCTGAGCGTTCACTGTGGTGTCGTTGTACCAGGTGAGGGTGGTGCAGGGGAAGGAGCCGGCCCATCTGATGAGTCTGTTTGGAGGACAGCCCATGGTGGTGTACAAGGGGGGCACGTCCAGAGAGGGAGGTCAGTCGGCTCCTGCAGAGACTCGACTCTTCCAGGTCCGATCCAACTCTGCAGGACACACCAGAGCTGTGGAGGTGAGAGAACACACCGCCTTCAAATGTCGGGATTTTAAAGCACGAGTCCGGTGAGATTCTCTATTGCATGTTAACCTTGAGCACCTCTGTGTTTCTGCAGCTTGATGTGGTGGCGACCAACCTGAACTCCAATGACGCGTTTATCCTGGTGACACCCGGAGACTCGTTCGTGTGGGTGGGCGTCGGTGCCAGCGACACGGAGAAGCAGGGCGCTCAGCAGCTGTGCGACATCCTGGGAGTGTCAGTCTCCGAGCTGTCGGAGGGAGGAGAGACTGGTGAGGAAGCTCGACGGAAACAGAATATTACTCTCTCATGTTTTTGTGCTTTTAAAGCAGAATGTGAATGTTTTATTCCAGAGTTATGTCTCAGGTCCAGCTGTGAAAATGTAGATCTTCTGTGTGAAGTTTGTGTCTCGTAGCTCATGTTCATCCATATTAAAACAAAGCCGTGATTGTCTCGCCCCTCTAGATTTTATCAGTGAGCTTGTGATGCTTCAAAGCTCGAAAAAGAAACCGGATTATAGAACCTCAGGCTAAAACACAACAGATTGAATTTTTAATTAACGGCCTGCTTTTAAGAACTGGCTTCAAGTTCTTAAAAGCTCCTAAAGACAAAATGCAACATTTTATTTCTATGAGCTCAAGAAAACAAAACAACATTTTCCTGCTGTGTGTTGAGTAAAACTGTACGTTAACATATCTTTGACACTATTTTACTGGTGCTGTGATTCAAAAAATGTATATTGATTGAAAAAGTGTGATGTGTCAGACTCAGCTAACTGTTAGAGTGTGTGTGTCGTCACCACAGATCAGTTCTGGGAAGCTCTGGGAGGAAAGGCAGAGTATCGCACGTCGACCAGACTCAAGGACAAGATGGACGCTCATCCACCCAGACTCTTCGCCTGCTCCAATAAAACAGGAAACTTCATTGTGAGTAACCAACCCTTTAAATCAGACGTAATGTACATGTACCTCTCCGAAGCTGTTTGTGCACACAGTATCACATGAATGAAATCATCACAGAGCACGTGTCGTCCTCTCAGATTGAGGAGGTGCCCGGGGAGATGACCCAGGACGACCTCGCCACTGATGATGTCATGATCCTCGACACCTGGGAGCAGGTAAAGTAACCGGAGCTGTGACAACACATGGATTCCAAATCACTGCAACAGAAAGAACAAATATGCACAAAGCGTTTCTATCTTTTTAGGTGTTTGTCTGGATCGGAAACGAGGCTCAAGAGGAAGAGAAGACTGAAGCCATGGCATCTGGTAAAAAAAAGATTTTGCAAATTAAAAACGCAAAGAGTCAACAAGTCTTCTCTGCATAAAATTGTAAAAAGTTCTGGATACCGTTCTGTTGGCAGATAAAAAAATGCAGAATTTAGCTGAGGTCTGGTTTCACATCCCCGTCATTCTGCTGTACATGTGAGCTTCAGTCTTCAGTAATTCTTCATCCCCTCTTCCCTCAGCGGTCCGTTACATCGAGACGGATCCGGCCAACAGAGACCGCAGGACGCCCATCGTCAAGATCAAGCAGGGCTTCGAGCCGCCCACCTTCTCCGGCTGGTTCCTGGGCTGGGACCACGAGTACTGGACCAGCGACCCTCTGGAGCGCGCTATGGCTGAACTGGCCCTGTGAGGCGTCACCTGACCCTCCCCCTTACCCCCCCACCCCCCACTTCTACCGCTCCACCACAATCATTAAGACTTTTTAAGCCTATGTCGCTTTTTTTTTTTTTAATATTCTTTAAAGAGATAGAGTTCTAGAAATGAGTTCCTTCTTTCACATGCTACACTGATGACAATACTTCTTAACCAACCAATAACAATCAAGCTTTAACAGATGCACATTCCTCCTGTAGGGTTTTGCACTAAATCAGTTACTACAAACACGTTATTTTATATTTTGACAGTAAAACGACATTGAAAAGCCCACTGCCTTTTTAAAGCAATACAACCAATGCCTTAACCTTCTCTCCTCTAGTTTACAGTTAACCTGTTGAACCTTTTTAAAAGAGGTACTGCTGGAGTTTAGCGATGCCTTCACAGACTTCAGTTTGTTTGTCACTTCTATTTATTTTTTTAAAATACCAGATTTATTCCCAGGAAGCTTGAGTGATGCTGCAGTTGCAAACTTTTGATGGGAAACCGACGCTTTGCTGCTTTAGGAACCAGTTACGTCTCCTGTGACACTTTTCTCAGGTTTCCCCAAGTCTTGTTATCATTTCAATAAAACTAAATTAAAGATGCTCAAGTTTTACGTCTCTGCTTCTTTACACACTTTCAACAAAGGCACTTTTCTGAAAGAATGAAATGATTTTGATAAAATCTTTATTTAAAGTCTTTACATGTGAAGATAAAACCATATCAAACGCTAGCAAAGTGTACAAAAAAATTAGTTAGCCGCAAAAACTAACAACTATAAATCCTGAATAAAATATTGATGCAAGTCTTTAAAACAAAGCAGAAACTAAAGAACTACTTCATTTAGATGTGAGGGTTTTTCCCTCTTAAGTCAAAAGATGAGACAAGTCAGAGAAGAGAAGCAGCTTCGTGGTCACGCTGCGAGTGAACGTGACCAGTAACAGTTTTAAATTCATCTTAGTGTGGTTCTAAATATACATAGTTCATTTGCTTAGTAGCTGTAGCTTAATAATCTTGGCCTGTTACAGCAATAAATCGAACATATAGAGCATAATGTAGTAAAATACTGTAACAGGCTTTTATATTCCACAAGAAAATAATGAATAAAAGAAACACATCAATGCCATTAAACATGGGCCAAGTTGAGACAAACAAAAAAAGTCAAAGGTAAACCAGGGCTCCACATGAACACGAGACACTCGGGACAAGAAACGTTAGGGACAAACAATCTCAGGAGAAGTAACAATATGTCAAATTTACTTTTTTGTAAATTCAAAATTCAGAGGTGAAAAAGTTGAACAGGACGTTTCTGGATAATATTTGGTTTTTAAACCAGAACTGATATATAGATGGTCAATTAAAGAAAGAACAACGTGCTCGGCTCAGACGTACGAGACCTACACAGTTAAAATGATGTTTGTTAGTTAAACATTGTTTAGGTTGTTCTGTTAATATATTTGTGTTAATATGTTCTGTAAAATTATTTATATATTAGTGATGAATTTTATCATTAGGTCGTATTGAATCTGGAGCCATTACTTCTGTTAATGATCTTTTTATCTGACAGAAAATGTTCTGCAGTGTCAACAGAACTTATTTTAAATCCACATTCTGAACGTAACAGATATTCATTTAAAACTGAGTAATGAGTTGAACCTTATGACGCTGTGGATCAGTGTGAGGCGTAAAATATTCTCCACAAAAATAAAGAATAAGGCTCGTCCTTCACAAGTGTTAATGTAGAGCCCTGGAAACTATAAGAAACTACACTTGACTACAGAGATATATGTATGTGTATATATATATATGTATGTACTACATATATGGTAACACTACTGAGCGAGACATGGACGAGACACTGTCATGTACATTGACAACACTCCTGCTATTTATATGTCAGAAGGAGGAACAACACATGAACTGCATATTAAGTGGCTTGTTGCACCCAGACAGAAAGAAAGAGACAAGATAGTGCTGTTAAAATGAAACATGCAGTCATAAAATCATAGTGTTCTCTTCAAAGTGCATAGAAGACAGCTTTCAGACTGTAAAATGAAGCGATGGCAGTTAGTTAAGGCCTTTGGCTGAAAGATTTGCATTAAATGTCAGTCGCTGCTTCATCGTCAGCAGACTGAAGGCTGGGGGGGGGGGGTTCAATGTGTATTTGGCGGACAAAGATGAGAATTTATGTTAATGTGAAGTGTTTGTTTTATTTTCTCCACCATCCTGAATGTTATATATACTGTGTATGAATAGAAAGTGAACTGTAAACATATGACAGGCAGCAGTAGAATCTCTGTGACCCCCTCACCCAAGTCGTAGCTTGTAATCTGAGATGACAGCGATGACAACAGAGTGTGTTGGCATGTGTGTTCCTGCACTATTTCTATATCGCTGACCAACCCTCACTTTCTAAAGGGGTCATTTTAATACTTAGTAAAAGTAGTATTTGTAGTAGTATATGTTCTCAAGTGTGTGTTCTTGAGTGTGTTCATGCATTCATACAGATACTGTATTTACAACACTCTCCTTGTTGAAGCTGAGAAATGAGTGGAATAAATGAAGTTCAGGTTCATGTTTGAACCATTTTACTTTGAAATCCAGTGAAAAAAATGGCACAGCTAACAGCTAAAAACCAGAGGTAGGTTTCTGAGGATTGGTGGTAAAGCCAGTAGAGCCCTCAGATGGATATAGTGAAAATAATTATGGCATGATGAAAATGGCAGTGGTCGTAGTAGTGCCATGTCAACAGGGGATATTAGTTATATAAACACTAGAATGTGTGTGTGTGTGTGTGTGTGTGTGTGTGTGTGTGTGTGTGTGTGTGTGTGTGTGTGTGTGTGCACAGTTGTAAGGCTGCATATCCAGCTGGCACTTTGCTTTAAAGTGTTTGAGAAAGGGATGATGAAAGGTTTGGGCTTCCTGCCTCTGTTTTGACAGTCAGGGGAACGTGCAGGATAAAAGCTGAACCACCTGCTGCGGAACGCGTCGTTCACAATAACCTTTTTTAAATACTGTACAGCGACGCATCTGCTTTGGTCAGATCTGAGCAAACATGTGACACAAGTTACATTTCAGTTTTTTTTTTTACTTCACCTCTTCTTTTTTTACGACAGATCTAAAAGAATAATTTTCTGCAGAATTGGCAGTTTGGAACATGATAACCAAAAACCCACAGGCTTGAGATTGGTCATGATTACTAATCGACAGAGAGGTGGGACATATACCTGTGTGTAGGCTGGCGGTCGACTATCGGCTTTGTGGTGAGTTTAAATGCAAAGAGAGTTTCAAGTGTCGGACTTTTGAGGAAAGCTTGATGCTTCATGAGCCAAAATCAAAACTTCCTGAACTGGACACAGGGACTAAATATGTGTGTGTGTAAATGGTGTGTGAGTTTGACTGACGAGTACAAAGACCCCTTAGTGTTTCATGAAGGCTTGCATCATGTCCAGTGGCAGCGGGAAGATGATGGTGGAGTTCTTCTCGGCGGCGATGGTGTTGAGGGTCTGAAGGTAGCGCAGCTGCAGGGCAGACGGAGACTCTGCGATCACCAGGGAGGCCTCCTTCAGAGCCCGAGAGGCGTTCATCTCTCCCTCCGCTGCGATCACCTGGAGGAGGAAACAGGAAGGAAGAGCGGTTTCATGTCACATAAGAAACCTAATTATCAACAGTTCGATCTGTCGTTGTTAGGAACTTTATCAACTGTTTTTTTCTTTGACAAATATTCTGGTCTAGAAATGATACAAATCAATTGTGGTTTTCTCAAATTACTAATATAAAGGAAATGTAATAAATGCAACTATTATCATGAGTTAATCTGCAGTAAATACTGGTGTGAATCTACGTTACCTATGTTGCATGAATTGTGTGTGTTTCTCTGCTGACTTGTCATTTCTCTTTCCTGATCTTCTTACCTTGGCTCTGGCCTCGCGGCTTGCCTCCGCCTCAGCCGCCATCGCTCTCTGGAGCTGAAGGGGCAGCTTGACATCTTTGATCTCAACCCGCTCCACCTTGATCCCCCATTCATCAGTTGCATCATCCAGAGTTGACTGAAAGGGCAGAGAGACGAGTTCTCTAAAGGGACCTTAATCGACGAGCCACCATAAAAGTACTACTTGCCCACACACACACAGTTATCTGCTCAGCACAGACAACTGTGACAGAAACAGCCAACATTTATTTATCAACGCAAAAAAAAAAATGACCTCGCCCTCTTCTTTAGAAGCCAACTGTCTTGTATTGTTCTAAACTGTCCAGCAGAGGGAGCTCAACCAGGTTTCTGTCTTTATAAAATAACTTCAATTTGGAGTAAATGTTGTGTACGAGAGGTGACGCCAGGTCCAAACATTACTGCAATTATTTGAAATTTTAAACCTGTAATTGTTATTTAAAGTGCATGTCTTACTTTAACTTTTATAAATGATTGATGTTTTTTCTAAAGTCTTTAAACTGGCACCATCTGCCTGCACGTGCCCCCCCCCCCCCCCCCCCCCCCCCCCTTCTTCTTTCCCTTGTCCTGCACATGAACACTAGACGCCTCCTCGTTGCTGATTGGCACTTTGTTGGATTTCTTGTCAACTTACACAATGTGTGTAACTGCTGCTTATTGTTACCTGCATGCTGTGCGCGATCTCTTCACGGTCAGACAGGATCTCCGCCAGGTTCTTGGTTCCCAGGACGTTCCTCAGCGTGGTCTGGGCGAGCAGTCGGGTGGCGGCGTCGGCATTGGTGATGTTAGCCACGGCCAGAGTGGCATTCTGGACCCGGTAGTACACCACACCATCCACACTCACGGTCACAGAGTCTTTGGTCAAAACCTGAGAAGGAAACAGGAAGAAAATGTTTAATCCGGTTTATGCCCAAAAAGTGCATTAGTTTCAGAAATTTGCCCAAATATATTGATATTCTTTGAATTTGACATCGTCTTTGCTGAAAGTACTTGGGACTGTGCGTTTCCTACCTCTTGTGGTGGGATATCGAAGGTGATGGTGCGCATGTCTACGTTAATAAAGCTGTCAGTGCAGGGCAGGATGAAGAACAACCCTGTGGAATCACAAGAATAACAAAGACTAAAGCACTGTCAACACAATAATGAGGAAGCGTCTTCACAAATGTTTGAAAACGGTGCAGTGAATGAAATTCTGACAGAAGGCTAACTCAAGCTCTCTGTAAGTCTGCAGCTGTGCCGACAGCGACGCAAAGCTGTGGATATTTGCAGCTTTCATGAGCCTGTTTCACTTCAATAATTGAATTAGTGCAATAAACACTACCAGGCATGTGCCTGAGTGAAATAGACATGTGCAGTCATTTAGCTAACATTAATACCACGCCAGTTAGGGACTTGTGGGCTGCATTTCCTGTCAGGATATTGTGTATTTAAATGCTGGGAACACAACCATCTGCTCGTGCCGCTTCCGCCACAACATTCCCAGCATTCTCTACTATTTTAGCTCCTGTCTTACTTGTACAGACAGTGTCTCTAAGAACCATCTTGTGACACAGAGGAAAATTCCACACATAAAAAAAGCTTTGTTCATCAATAAACAGATCTGTTGATACAAAACAGACCTCATACAAATGTATTGGTACATGTTGGAAGTCACTATTAAATAACAGCTGCTGTAGATGGATACAGGGCGAGATTTCAGGGGTAGGGGTGAGGGGCATTATGGGAAACCAGATGCAGAATTCAACTTTGGCACTTGGTTCCTTCAGCTACTGAGGAACGAGAGGTTTTATTGGCAGAGAGCTATTATTACCGTGCGCTGTCATAAAAAAGGAGCCCCTGACTCTCTGAGGAGTCACATTTCAGCATTTTGAGAGGACACAGCCTGGTTTTCAGATCCAGTAAAAACAAGAAATCAAAATGATAAAAGAGACAGTGAATTATGAGCTATATGCAAATTAATCCTTGTGGGAGTCTGTATTTTTATTTAAACAAATTCGCTGCCTTTCAAAAAGAGAAGAGGCATCAGTGAGAATAGGATGATAAAGGCATTAAGATCTCCAGCAGACATGTGCCAGAGCATTGCCAGACAATCGGCTCTGGAGTGGGGTCTCAGTTAGTTGTGTACATACAAGTGCTCGTCTATGTGGCGGCATGCCAACTGGTTGAACTTTGACCCGGGATATTGTGTTGATGTTATTATTGACACAACATATTTTTCAATTTCAATTTGAACCAGTGATTTTACAATGATGACGCCTGTCACCTTGCCCACTCGAGAGCAGGAAGTGGAAGGGAGGGAAACTACAGAAATTGGCAGCTGCCTCACAGCTCAACACTGTGATTTTTAATCAGCTGGTTATCGCACGGAAAATTTTGGGAGCAATAAAAAAAAAACCTAATCTGGAATGTATTTCAGTGCATTTACTATTGTTTGGATTTTTGTTCACAGCAACAACAACTAAATATTCATCCCTCTTCAAATACTTATGGTCTGCACTGCACAGTATACATCTGCATACTCTTTGAGCCTCTGGGTTGTCATAGCAACCTACGTCACAGGGCCGACTGCAGCAGGAGTCATCAATCAGAAGTCGAAACACATTAAAGACGAAGGACCAGACCAGTGAGGTCGGCTGAAGAGCTGGTCATGTGACTTTTCACTACAGCTTCCAGCAGAGGGACAACGCCCAAGAGTCACAGACCCGACTGCACCACGACAGCAAAGCAGTTCTTAGTAGAAGAGAAGGGGCTTAGGACTAAAACTGACCCACCACACATAAGGTTATATTCACTCCCATCTTCCCCAGGCTGATCATCTTGTCAGGGACATGGTTACGTAACGATGTTCATCTGTTTGTGTTTCTAAGCTCCTTGATACTTTAGCTCGAGAAATGTATTTTAGTTTGGGTCTAAACAGCAGCTGAAAGGATATTGAAACAACATCACATAAAAATAATATCATAAATGATGAAAATAACTGGTGAATTGGATGTTGGGAAAAATTATATACAGGTGAAAAACAAACAATGGTCTCTGACCTGGTCCTTTGGCTCCTCCTCGCAAAATGCGCCCCAGGCGAAAGATAATGGCTCGCTCATACTCCTTCACAATCTGTGTACAGAGCAAAAACCACACAAATGGCTTATATGTTCCCTTTGTCTTCCAAGAGCAATTACCTTGCTTACTTAGGGTAACTTTTAATTAAGTAAAAGCACAACAACGGGTCAACAGCTTCTAAAGGCAGTTAAATAAATACACATAATAAAGGGGATGAGTCTGCAGCACAAACTCCAGAGTTTCCAAAACACTGAATAAACAGACTGAGCCATCCACAGTAATTTACCCTCCACTATACCCAGCCAGCTTGGCTCACACAGTGGAAAATAAACAGTGAACTTGACAAGCAGCTGACCTTAATGCACATCCATATGGAGATGGGAAAGGTAACCAGCATGAGCAGCAGGGAGAACCCCACCAACAGCCAGCCACACAAGCCAATGTCAGTTTCTGGATTCTCCAAAGCTGGAAGAAAAAAAGGTAAACACATGAATTCACCTGATGCACATTAACACTAAGAATAAATAAATAAAAACAGATTAAGAATAAAACAACAAACAGCATTTAAGGCAAAATGGTGGTAAATTCTTTCAGAAATGTTGTTAAACCATCTTTACGCTCTGATTCTGTCATGCATCAGTGCAGCTTTCATCCATCTCTGAAAACCCACACCTTGAAAAATGTATATTAAGGGTGTAACAGTATCTGAAGGGCAAAGATTTGGGGGTGTGGCCTTCGGTAGGGCACACATGTGGTCTGAAAAAATGAAGCCACTGCATCTGCAGAACTTTTTGAGTGTGAGGAATTAAATTTGAAATTTAAGCTGCTTCTTGCCAACAATTCAGACCAGGGACAAAGCACTAACAAATAGTGTGTTGTATGAGCTTCTGTTCAATCCCGAATTAGCCTGAGAGAGAACTAGCTCTGCCTGACCCTGATGTTTTCCACAATTAGAGGTACATGCAGTTTAATAAAATCAGGTAGATAGCCCAGCCAAACACGACCCAACCTGAACCTGACCTGAATGCTATTTAAAAATGTTTCTCTGAGACCAGCCCAACTGGGTCTGGTGTTCTCAATCTAAAAACAAATTGAATGAAATGGCAAAAGTAATCAATGTTTTGATTTAGTCTTGTAAATGTACTTTATTTGCAGCCAGTAGCAAGAGTGACACTAAGAAAGATGGCATTGTCTGTTCGGTAAACTAGTGTTGAATCAAGTTAACGTTGTATCTCTTGTAAATCGCAGTACCGAAGACCACACCAAACCCTACCGCGATGTTTGTGTACCGTTAAACCCCAAATGTAAAAGATTAGTCACATTTAAAGTCATCTCCATCCACGTGCCACACCCACTGCTGTTAGGATTAGAAAAAAAACACTGAGGTCAGTCACATCCTCTGTTTGCACCATTATCTGAAACATGACATGCAACCAGGCAGCGGCTTGAGATTCGTACCTTGACCATCGAGTATTTGATGCCTGCCTGGACCTACACACAAAGTTCACATGTCAAAACTTCAAGCAATGTTACATGTGTGCAATCAACGTCTTTAAGCACAGTCGCCATTACTGGTGTGTTGTTATTCCCTGTGGTGGGAAATGTGAAAACAATGAACAGCAAACAACTGTCGATCCAGAGCTCAAGCCATTATTACCGACTTCTCCTTCTTCTTCTTATTATTACTATGATTATTATGAGGGCAGCCGCTGGATGAAGCAGGTGGTGTCTCTACATGTCGCAGAAGAATACACTAGTTGTAGCAGAGAGCTATTAGAGACTAGCTGAGAGGGAGAGGCTGCGTGAGGAGGACATTTCCCGGACATCCCTTTAACAACAGAGGTTCAATAATCAATACTGGTTCGCACTGAGCAACAGTGATTCCTCCACTGTGTGACTAAAAGAAAATGCTAACTAGTCTAAGCTAGTTCGACACAGACTATACTGAGCTGGCTCTCAGTTAACACAATTTTAACTACGAAACAAGCCTCCGTGGATAAATGTATAAATAAACAACCATCTAACCCTCAGAGGAACAATGGTTTAAAACAGGTTGGGTTTCGCTAACTCTGTTTTTTTTTTTAAAGCAATCGGCTTCATCCGGGCTGTGATTTTTTACTCGTGTCGCACTAATAAACCCACCGTCAACAATCGTTACGCCCGCTAGCATTAGCATGCGAGCGGAGCAGGCCAATTAGCGGTAGTTTAGCCGGAGTGAGCTAACACTGCTGCTAGCACTTAGCTTGAGGTTTTCACAGCAGGAGGCTGGAGACACAGTCTGGGTCTGTGGTGGAGGGGGAGGGGGAGGGGGACTGACCCCCAGAAAAGAGTCAGGCCTTACCCGACTGACGGTCTCTTCCTCTGGGTTCCTTCATGGTGACCTCTTCGCCGTCGGCGTCCATTAAAAAAAAACAACCTGTGTGTGTGTCTCCGGTGTGTGTTTGTGTGTGTCTCCGGTGTGTGTCCTGAGGTGCCCGTGTCTCTGTCTCCCTGAGCTTTGACTCGCAGGTTACTGGTTCCCGGGTTTGTAGAAGTGGGCGTGGTTCAGCCTGTTGATTCTTAAAGAGACAGTTCACCCCCCCAAAAAAATAAATTCTCTCACAAAACACAAAAACACTGGAGGAGTTTCAGAGGTAAGCAGAAATACAGAAATATAATAAATAATAAACTGTTGCAGCCACATCCCAGTGAACTATCCCTTTAAAGGCCTGTTTTCAAATAAATCTATATTTAGAACAAATGAAAACAACCTTTAGGCATCATAAACAATATTCTAGGCCTCTTCTCAGGGATTCATTTGTCAGCTGGGTCTCAAACAAGGCTTCTTCAAATGTGTCCTTCTGTTTTCAAGCAACAGAGGCCCCCAGAACACACCTGGTATTGAAGTGTGGTTTGTGTGTGTGGTGCACGTGTGAATGCACTTAGATCGGACACAGACTTGATCATGCCCAACACATCTGATCACAAGATGCATGTGGGGCTACATTTTAAATCCAATTTCAAATGGGACATACCCAATGAAGAAGTTCAGCAACAATAATGGTAAAAATAAATTGTGTCCCCACGCTCACAGGAGCCCCCCCCACAGGCCTCAGAGATACCAGCGGTGCAGAGGGAATAAAGCACGGCCCATCTCTGTGTCAGCTGGCAGCTAAATTAGCCAGCACTTCAAACTAGCTAATCTCAGCTGGCTATTTATAAACCACAGTGCAGGATTAGTTAACAGCTGACAGACAGCACATTCTCCCAGTAATAACATCCCAAATTAACTCCATGTTGTAATTTTGTCTATAAATCTGAAGCTACTGCAAACCACTCATGTTATAGCATTTGTGAGCAAGATTATTTGTTCTGGGATGGAAAGAAACTTTTGTGGCAGAGACACCAGTTGGAGAACTACGACCGTTTACCCCTTCAGTCTCAGCTCCAATCATTTCAGTGAGCGAGCTGTATTTCGAGTTCAGGTGGCATGTTCAGAAAATCCAGGCGATTCCAGTAAGTGAGATTATCCTGGGAAAGCAAAGGGACGGTGGAGTATGCATGTCGGAGTGGCCCAGAGCTCCATCGCATCTAATCCTCTTTTAATTAGGGTGAGAGAAAATGCAGGACCCCTCCTGGATTAGTCACAGCACATTGACAAAGCACCAAGCTGGGACCAGTGTACAGGACTGCTGGCCAGTGTGGCCACTTAAGGTGCAGCAAAGACCCTCTCAAGCATGAAACCCCCCCCCCCTCCCCCGTCCTTCATCTCCCTGCAGTTACCTGGAGTTTGTCCTCTGTGCATCTAAAAAAACAAAGCATCTCTGGTCTTTGTTGAACTGAGAGGATAAGTTACAGCATATGATTCGCTCATTTCCAATCCTTCCCCCTGTTTTTCCACTCTCACTTGATGGGATACTGTATCTGCGGTCACACTCGCTCCCTATTATCCACCCTTTTTGCTAAGCCTACAGGGTACTTTGCCCTCCTCGTTATCTCTCCCCATCCCTAACTATCTCTCTTCATGCTCCGTCTGTCCGTTCTCTCCATCCCTCCTCCTTTTTGTGGCCAATAATGGAGGCTCAGTCTCGTGCTGATGGGGATTGAGGCGAACAAAAGAATCAATTAAGAGCCAAACACTGTAGTCTGTGCTGCCACCTCAGATCTCTGAACATGTACAGACGCTGTGTCACAGTACAAAGTAACACAAGTTCTTACAAGGCTTCAGGTCCACATGCTGGGGACACATAAACTCAAAGAATTCATGATATATACAGAGCAAATTATAGGTTTTACTGCAATGCATCTAAAGCAGTTATGCAACAAAGATGTTTCTTGTGTTCTCAGGACTTCTGGTTGAAAACAGAGAAGCTTCAGGAGAATGATCTGATCAAAGAGCAACAACCAAGTGAAAATGTCTGTGGTGTTAACCCAGAAATACACAGTTAGCATGAAATGTGATGTGTGATAAATGTGTAATGTGACGTCAGAGTGGACTGTAAGAGTCATGTATGTTGATTGTACTGCAGGAGCTCGATCATTGGCCACTAGGGGTCATTGAGGTGGTTCCAGTGAGTTGCAACCAAAAGACAACGTGTGAACTGAAAAGATCTGGTGTTACTAAACATGTCTACTGAAACAGAAGCAGGGATTTAATTAAACAGAGCACAAAAATGTGTGAAACAGGATTTTTTCGGTCAAAATGCATCGAGAGGAAATCCTGACCACAGATGGAAGTTTGATACTGAGTGTGTCAGGCCTCTCAGGAGACACTGACTCACTGCAGCCTCACAGGTTTGGGTTGAAACCAGCTGAAGGTGACGGACATTTTACTGATCAAATGTCCTGAGTCACTGCTCTCCTCTGTGACACTCGTGTCATTTGTCGTTTGTGTCTCATCGACACAATCTGAGTTCAGCAATGAGCTCAACAGAGAGTCAGCACACTAACTCAGCTTAGTGCATCATGTTTTGTAAATAAATGTATATTACATCTATCACACAAGGTCGTGAGTAATCTTGAAAATCTTCAATAAATAATAATATAATAACACATTTTTAGAATTTTCCATATTTATCTGTATTTATTACAGGTCGACAAATAATCAGTTAATCAGTATGAGTGATTTCTTTAAATGAAAGAAAGTAAAGATTCTCTGATTTCAGTTTCTAATTACATGAACACGTGAACATCTTTGGTTTGTGGATAAAACAGGACATTTGAGGAGGCCATCTTGGGAATTTGGAAACACAGAGCAACATTTTCGGACATTTTCTGGACCAAGCAACTGATCGATTAATCAAAAAGATGTATAATGAAAATTATAATTAATTACAGCCCAGATGCTGACAAATATAAAAAAAATAATGAAAATAACCACGTCACACTAACTAACAATAATCATGATAACCATAGTATTTGTTTATTATGACCAACTGATATCCTGTCTGGTGTTAAATATATATATTAGTGTAAAATTAGACTGGATGATTTAATCATAGAAGAATAAAATAGCCTGACTGAGAAATGGTCAGACAGTGTTTCCTGCCTCACAGCCTGTGACACTGGGTGGCAGCATGTCCCTCTGAACAGAGAGATCTCACCTCGCACCTCCAGCAGAGGAGCTCGCTCTGTGGGAAGTGAGGGTCTCTGAGGGGGACACGTTGGAGGTTTTTCTGTAGAGATGTCAAACAGCACAGAAATGCGTCTAAATCACGACCGAGCGTCACTTTAAATCACCCCTGTCCAACCGGATGGAGGATATGAGATAAAACTGCTGCTTTTTGTGTTTTGACCCAATTTTCTGTCACTAAAAAACTTTTATTCAATCAATGAAAAGATTTAAAAAATAAACCAATGAGAAGCATTAGATGTCCCTCATTTTGTTTTCTATATAAATGTCCATATTATAAAGTTATAGGTCATTTAAAGATACCTTTCTTGGGGCTTGTGAAAAATATACCATGCTATATTACTTTCCATGTAGTTATTTACCTTATTTGTTTTTTTATTGATTCCTTTATTCTTTCAGGAACCCAGCAGCACATAAACTAATCTACAGTGTAACCTAGAGCTGCTGTTCTATTACCACTGTGGTATTTCATCCAATGAGATCTGGCAGCAGCGAGTTCTATTCTAACAGACCTGACTACAGTCAGAAAAGAATCCTGTGGGGATTTATCAACTCTGCATGAAAGAGCAAGTCGGGTCAATTATAAAATCACACTTCTATATTCCTCTTTTCTGTTTCCAGGCCGGCTACATTCCCACAGAATCAAATGCAACACACACAAAAAAAGAAACATTTCCATCATTGTACTGTATATAACACCAGATTATCCTGGAAAAGTCCGTGAATAAGCCTCCGACGTACGAATTTCACTCCGAAAAGTTGACGGTGAAGACAGAGGTCACAGAGGTCAGAGTGAAGATAAGCTGAGAACTTGTAAATCCCGTCAATCTGTTTTCAAATTACTGCAGTAACAGCATGCGAGGTGTTGTTTCCGTGTATTATGGTAATGTAATAGCTGAGGCAGGCCTTGGTCTGCAGCTCGTGTTTGTTCGCAGGTACCGCGCTCGCTGCGTTTGGCATTCTGCTCCACTTCTCCTGCTGAAATGAGTTCTCTCTCTCTCCCTCTAAACTTACAGAGGATGCGGCGCCCACACAGCTGTTCTCCCCTGAGCTGGCGTACATAAAACATAAAAGGCGAGCCTATATGAAAAATGCACAGAGCGCTGGAATATAATGTGCTTGATAACCTGCTGCTGTCGGGCAGGAGAGAGATAAAGAGAGAGGCCTGCCCTGGATAGATTCCTTTTTCTGCAGAATTCGTTTGACTGCGGGTTTGGATGACTGCCTGTGCAAACATTTGCTCACTACGCTCAATCCATGGATCACATTACAAAGATTGATTGTTCACTTGCCTCTCACCCTGCACCATTTCATTGGCCGATATCAAATCAAATGGGATTCTTGAAAGGGGAGAATCTGAGGGGTGGAGTTGTTATGCACAGAATAAGTAACTGTGCCTCTCAGGCAGATGTGAGTGAGCTTGCACGAACGTGTGCGTGTGTTTCCAGCAAATTCCTCCCCATTGTTCTTGAGGTGAAGTGAAATGCCGAAGTGCCAGGCGGAGAAAACAAATCAAAATGATTGTTACAGCTGAAAGAGTGGCACCTCGCATCGTGTTTCCACGCCGTCATACCACCATGTAAATTAGCCGAGCCGCTGCGCGAACTTGCAAGGCAATTAATTTGTGACACGCAGGTGCCTCACGTACCTACCGCTGAGTGATTGCAAAGTTCACAAAGAGGGAAATTAAACAAGGGAAACACCGGCGTTCTCTTTGGAGAATTTGTAGTTCAATTAAAGCTCGGTGGGTTTGCGTTGCGGTGGCACAAACACTGCATCCTGTGGTTGTGCCAAACCCTGGCTTATAATCATCATTTCAGCTCGAGCAATTGCCAAATATTTACTCAGTTGTTTTTAGGGCCTCTGGGTACTGTATCAAGAA